AATGATATCTCAACTATAGCAGTAACAACTGGCAAATTTAATGCTAAAGTAATAAATCTATATAAATTTTAACTATTGTGTATAATTTTCTACTTTAAACAAAGCTTAGAAGTTTCAGTTGTGTCTGATACAACTTTTATGAATATTAAAAAAAAAAAAATCTTATTTAGGTAAAATAAGCTTGCCAATGAATTACATAAAATATCATTACTAAAATTAATTTATTTAAATTTTTAGGATAGGCCCACCCTCAACCGAGCATAGGTCCGCCCCTTACTCAAGGCCTCTTAATTGATAGTCAAAACTCCCAACCAATAGATTGAGATCGATAAGATATATATAATTGTGATTAAATACACTAAATATATTTAAAAAATGATCCTCGCAACATGTAATTATATACATACGAATGATATTTTCATTGGAGATAGGGCATTCCGTGCCTTTTTTTTTCTCAAGTCCTCAAAATTTAAATATTTACATTAAAAATTTAAGAACAGTTATATCTTAGATAGCTTAATAAAAATGTCATATTATTTTTTGAATGTAATTCATCACCTAAATAAAATTTATCACCAATTAATTTATAGATTTTTTTTTTCTGCGAAACTTTTTCTTTTTCATCCGAAATATTAAAGTAGTCTGTCATCCATATGAAAGAAAATTAATGTTTATTTATGGGATTTGTCACTTATGTATGTTCTTATTTTTTTGGTTCGATTCTTTTATCAAAAGAAAATTATAGCTTCTTTTTTATTTATAAGGTTTTATAGTTTTAAATATATTTTATGGGAGATAGTACTCTTTTGTTTACAAAATAAGAAGAAGATAACTTAGAATTGGTTTAGGATGACTGTAACTTTTTATATAAGATTGTTGTAAAGTTCTTACGAGGAAAGTAACTTTCTTGAAAGTTTTTATAAAAAGCAGCTTCATAGCACAGAGATTTTTTAAAATAGGGAGAAAGCAATAGCTAAAAAGAACTATAGTTGCAGGATAAAAAATAAAGCAATATTGAGAAAGCTATCATGGACTAAAGTTTTGTTTGGGACGACTTTCTTACTGCTTCTTAAAATAGTTTTATAATACAAAAGTTGAAATTTTTGTACTCGAATGCTGCTTTAAGAAGTAATAGAAAAGCTGTACCAAACGAAGCCTAAGGCTTCATTTGGGACGGCTTTCTTACTACTTAAAACAATTTTTTAGTACAAATTTTTAATTTTTGTACTAAAAAGCTGCTTTAAGAAGCAGCAAGGGGATGACTTTGTTACTGCTTCTTAAAACAGCTTTTTAGACATAAATTTTAATTTTTATACTAAAAAGTTGATTTAAGAAGCAGTAAGAAAACCGTCCCAAACGAAGCCTAACTCTTACTATAATATATTTAGGGTTAAAGCAGCATACAACCTTTTCATACCTAGATTTATGTATTTTAACAAAAAAAATAGCAAAAAAACTGTGTAAATATATATAGATCCAATTTCTTTCAAGATGGGCCTATAAGTCCTTAGATTTACACCGAGATTAGTGCAAACGAAAATTACATTAAGGATATCTAGATATTTTCATAAATTATATCAATATTAAATAACTATTTATAGATTCATTTCATCTAAAAATAAATCTCAATCTATGGCATAGATTGATTTTAAGGACATAAATATATCTTAAAAGAGGGCCACACATTATTTTTTAAAGATTTTCCCACAAAATTTCTATAATAAATTATTTATATGATTTTTTCCTCAATCCTTAACCATTATATATCTCCCATTAGCAATTTTTTTTTTTTAAATTTCAAGTTTAAATTTATCAGATGTTCTAAATATTTCACAAATGCTTTGATAATAATAAATTTTATTGATTTTATTTAATGATTTTAAATTATTGAGAGGTTAATTAATTGAATAGCTAACTACTAAGAGGAAAGCAAGCTTGATGCTCTCTCAACCTATAAGGTCCGAGCAATGCTCCAAATTTTTTAAAATTGTACTTATTCCTTTTCTAGACATGTACCCTAATTTGGGCCAAAAAAGGTAGCAAGTATTAGTTTTTGGGGTGTTTGTGATCTGAATGGGGGCTTTGGGGTTCGGTTATGGTGTTGTGGTTTGGTTTTTGGCTGGGGTGCTCTTGGTTGGGCCTTTTTGCTGGCCAGTTGCTTCATCCGTTGGTTTTAGATCTGAATGCTTCTTAGTTTTTCAGAGCCGACTCTTTTTCGTTGTAGGTTGTGTTTTCTGTTAGTTGTTCGTGCTAATTGATTTGTTTCACCAACTGGGTTTTTGCTCACTTTTGAGTTTCTGGTTTTCCTATGGAGGGCTTCCTTTTGGCCTTACTTTGGTTGTCTGGCTTTTTCTTTTCTTGGTTGTATTATTGTATTAGTACGATCATAAGCTCTTTAGATTTTAATTCAAATGATGTATTTTTAGACGAGCTCTTGATTCTTTAAGTACTTGTAACCGTTTTCTTATATTAATCTGTAGGCCCCTTCGTGAGTTTTATCCAATAAAAAAAGGCTTTTCTGCTATAACAACTTGTTAGACTTCATCTAGAAAATTCTTATGTCGGGACGCTTTGTTCACATCAATGAATTCTTTTGTGTATCTATATAATTTTAACCTATTATATTTTCATATTATTAAAAATCATCTTTAATGATATTAATTAACAAATGTTTAATTAGCAAATGCACTTAAGGATGATCCATCAATGCCTTGATTAGGTATGATTCCTATCTATTACATAAATTTAAGCCTCATGAAATTAAAGAAGAGTTTCGAACAATGTATGAGTGGATGAATTTACAGATAGAAATATGTCCAATAATACTTCATTCGTGCAAAAACCAATTAATACATTTTTATAAATTTTCAAAATTTTGAATTAAAATCCATTTTTACATGCCTATAGAAAGTTTTAATGACGACCTATTAATCGCTTTATGCACACTCATAATATTTAGCAAATATCTACTAACTTAGATATAATTTCGTCTCACATCACTAAGAAGGGGGTTTCTCCTTCTCTTCTCTCTCAAAAAATGTATTTGTGATGTTAGGGGTGTGAATTCGGGTCAGCGGGTCGGGTTTGGGTCGAACTCGGAACTGATCCGAACTTACCCAACACTATTCGGGTCAACCCGAACCTGACCCAATTCGGGTCGGGGTCAACCCGACCCGACACGAATGACCTGAAGTTAACCTAAAATTGCTAATTTTCGGGTAAAAAATCAGATCAATATTTGATTTTCGGGTCAAAATCGGGTAAAAAAAGGGTTAATCTCGGATTTTCGGATCAAATATGAGTTTCGGGTCAAATTCGGGTTGCTGGGTCAACCCGAACCTGACCCGATTTTTAAAACAGGTTGATTTGTTGAACCCGAACCCGACTCGTTTCGGATTCGGGTTGATCCGAACCCGGATTTTTCTGAGTCGGGTTCAGGTCGTGTTTCGGGTCGTGTCAAAAATTGTGATGTTAAGGTAAATTGACATAAAGATTTTGGGTGAAATGAAGAGTTCTCTCAATAGTTGGGATATCTAAATTTTCTCATTCATCACACATATACAAAAAATAAAAATGTATAAAGAAAAATTCTTATGGTGTTCAAGGCAACTAAAAGACAAAAATATTACTAAAATAAAGATTTTGAACAAAAGAAAAACTTTGAACTAGCCTACTTTGAAACGAGATAGGACTTTTTTGGAGTAATTATTACGTTCAGACAAAAAACGAGAAATCTGGACATATACCGAGTGATACTGGAGTGCTCAATACCGAGTTTCAGGTGACGTGGCGCGTGATTATTGGTCTATGGACGCGTCAGGTGACCTGACATAATAATTGCTCGTTTTCTTGAGGGAACTTAGGCTTGGAACATCTCTTAGATGTAGGGAACATAAGACAATCCTAAATTGAAATATTCCACCAATTGATGCGAAGAAAATTGGTCAAACTACATAATAAATATTAAATTAGCTATTAAAATATAGCAAAAATTAGTTGTTAGAAGAGGACGAGTAGCCATAATTCACTCTCATTTCTAAGTTTGTTTGGGAAGACTTTCTTACTTCTTAAAGTAAATTTTTAGTATAATTTTTTTTTTTTTATAATAGAAAGCTGTTTTAAGAAGTAGTAAGAAAGTCGTCCGAAACTTATATGTATGTAATTTGCTCCCACCAATAAACATTCAAAATAAATATAAAAATTCTTTTCTTTGCCCAAATTCAATCAAATATGATATCATGCAAACAACTTTGAAAATTCGCTAAAAAAATCTACGAAACTGCAAAACTATTAAAAACATGAAATTACCAAATTGCCACCATTTTTCAAAACACCCAAATTTAGGCTTTGTTTGGTATAGCTATCTTACTGCTCTTAAAGCAGCATTTTAATACAAAAAATTAATTTTTTTTGTACTAAAAAATTGCTTTAAGAATTAATACAGAACTCGTCCCAAGCGAAACCTTAACTACAAAACTTTAAATACTTAAAAAAATTCCAAATATTTTAGGGTTATCTCTTCTTCTAGAATGTAAAATTTTAGATTCTTAATAATAGAATGTCTAATTTTAAATTCCTAATAATTTGATCACAATAATAACACAATTTTTATTCAATTTGCAAATTGTGAAGATCTAGATTAGTGGTTCATTTTTCTTTTAATTTAATTGAATAAATAAATAAATAATTTAAGCTTCACATAATTTTGTTTGAGACTTTTTTACTGTTTTTAAAATAACTTTTTTATTAAAAAAATAATTAAAATTATTTTAGAAAGCAGTTAAAACGCTGCCTTGAAGCAAGCTTTAGTGTAAATATCAATCGAATCTTTAGATTTTTCAAAACTATTTTTAAAATTTTAAAACTTTAAATTTACAAAATGTTAACAACATCTGTATAAATATGTAAGGAAAATCAGCAGGCGTAATTATGCATTTTTTTATGGCGTAAATGCAAAATATCCGAATCGATAAATTGCCACGTTGACAGGAATGACCGGCGTATTACGTTGGCGTCCGCCGTTCTTTCGCGGCTTCTTCTCTCTCTCTCTCTCTCCCTCCTTTGTCGTCAGTGGCCACCGCCGAAACAAGGAAGGCAGTTAGCTAATCAAAACAAAGCAAGAGGACTGCACGCTTCGCTCCTGATTCGAATCTCGTAATCCTCTTTCCTCAACGGCTCCGGTACCTCGTAGAGATGTCCTTGCCGGCGTCGGCCGGAGTAGTAGAAGCGGCGCGGTGGAGCCGAGAGGACGAGAAGGCATTCGAGAACGCTTTGGCGACGGTACCTTATCCAACGAATGACGAGGGCGCAGCGCCGGCAACGGCGGCGGAGGATCGGTGGCTGGAGGCGGTGGGTGCTAGGGTTCCGGGCAAGACGATGGTTGAAGTTAAAAAGCACTATGGATTGTTGGTAGAGGATGTAAACGCCATCGATGGCGGTAGGGTTCCGATTCCGCGATACGCTGATGATTCATCTTCGTCCCCAAGAAGCGGCGAGCAGGCAGGGAAAAAGCACTCCGGATTTTCCGATCGGAAGGCGGGGACTGGAGGATTTGATTCGGGAGGGCAGTGTAAGGGCGGTTCTAAATCTGATCTGGAGCGGAAGAAGGGAATTCCTTGGACTGAAGAAGAGCATAGGTTAGTTATTAGCGCCAGCTTGTCTTTCTTTTTATTGATGATTGTAAAATTGTGGGTTTTTTTTGGGTTAATTCCTAGGTGTTAGCTGGGATAAATCGAGCGAATTAGATATATTTTTAAAATTTGGTATCCAGGGCGTTCTCTAAGTTATTGGAAGATTATGATTTTTTAGATTTCTAGGTAAGACTGCTTACGTGCTTATATCCAAGTTTGAGAACGGACGGTCTAGAAAAGGAAATCATTGATTTTATTTCTTGTTTTACTGATTTGTTGAACATTATTGAATGCTTGCCATGGCATGTTGAAATGTTAGTTTTTTTTTTTTTTAGCTGCAATAGTTGTGGAAGAGCAAATTGAACACTTTCAACTGGAGATTTGTTTGGAAGTTCTATTAATTTTACGTTATGCTTTACAAGATATGGTTTCATTTACCTTCAATGGTTTTAATGTTTATTTTGTAGCCCTCTAAATCAGATTAACTAGGTTTATAATTCTTGATTGAAGGATGCCTGTTTCATCACAGTTGTGTTTTCAAAAAGTAAAATATCTCCTCCATTGCTTCACTGTTCTTGTTCTTTTCTAATATGAAACAAGTGTTTCTACTCCTGCAAATTAATCCGACTTTCTTGTCATTCTGATATAGAAGTAGCATTAAGAACATAGAAAATGCAGTTCTTGTTGAGGATAGGTGAACCTGATTCATCACTCAGAGTGAAAAATGGCAGAAAGCAGCAAAGAAGAACGATGCATAAAAAGAAAAAAAAAAAAAAACAAAGACAAGTTCACACAATTGATGCTTACGTCCTATTACTATTGATTTCTCTATTGTTTGATTGTGGAGAATTAATCCATAATTCCTTTATTGCTACTTAATGACTACACCCCTCTTGTTATAAAGAAAAAAAAAAAGTTAATTGAAATTACAACAAAATCTTTAAAGTACCTTTAATGAAATAATTCACAAATTTTGATCTTTCTTAGGGAGAGATTATTCTTTGCGGACACCGGACGGAGAGAACCGTCCGATTTTCTTTCTGTCTGCAGTCAAAGCACAGTTACTGTAGCAGTTGCGTGTTGATTACGCTTTTACTGTGGACAGGATATCCACACATAATAAAAAGTCCTCTTAGAAACTCCACAATTAAATTTGCATACCAATTGTCTTCGTAGGGAAAAATTAAACTTACAACTTAGTAATTCTAAACATAATTGACATGGTCACATGTTTAAAACACTAATTTATCTTCCATTTTTTGATCATTTTGATTTTTCCAAACAGAAACCTTCCTTATGATTGTCAATCAAACATAACATCTCTTATTGACAGATTGTTTCTACTCGGCCTTGAGAAGTTTGGCAAAGGTGATTGGAGAAGCATATCGAGGAATTTTGTCGTGTCGAGAACCCCTACTCAAGTTGCAAGCCATGCCCAGAAGTATTTCATCCGCCTAAATTCAATTAATAGAGATCGACGCAGATCAAGCATCCATGACATTACAAATGTAAATGGTGGCGACGCACCTACGTCGCAAGGGCCTATCACTGGTCAGGGCATTGTGAATTCTGCACCAGCTGTAGGATCCTTCATTAATCAGCCCCCACAGCCAAATATTCCTGCTATGGGAATATATGGAACACCTATGGGACATCCAGTTCCAGGTCATATGGTTTCTGCTGCCGTTGGTACTCCTGTCATGATTCCTCCTGGGCATGCTCCTTATGTTATGCCAGTTGCTTATCCAATTCCTCCAACAATGCATCAATAGCATTAAATTCTACTGATTTCATCCTTGTGAAATATATCACATAGATGGAGATGGTTTAAAAAATATGTTGATTTGAATAGGTGTAAAAGATTTTCCTTCTGATCATTACAGTTGAAATAGAAAGAGATGGCTTAAATTTTTGGGATATGTTATTACACAAATTTTTTTTTTGGTTGGTAATGTTAAATGGTCCAACTACAACACATTGAATATTTGCATCTATAGTTGCATGAAATTATGATTTTGTTTGGGACGACTTTTTTATTGCTTCTTAAAGCAGCTTTTGAGTACAAAATTTTTAACTTTTGTACTAAAAATCTGTTTTAAAAAGTAGTAAGAAAGCCGTTACAAACGAAGCCTATATTCACTCATAGGTACTAAACGGTTTAGCCTAATTAAGTTTATAAAATAATGGCCTTATATATTAAAGAGGATATCATTATCAAAATGATAATTCATCATTTTTTCCCTTTGAAATCTGGATAAAAGAATGAAATTGTTTTCTTTTCCTTTTTGGAACTCACAATCGAGAGAAAGAATCAGCATAGGTGGCAATGTTCTTAGAAATAATAGAGGGAATCAAAAGAGAATCATAACAAATCTGCATTGAAATGCAGTTGGTGTTGTACTTGGCATTTTTTTGAACTGGAAACTCGATTATACTACACAAGCTCCCATGTTCTAAGTGCCCATCTTCCCAAATCTTAAATTTTTAGAATAACAAGTGTAAATCAACAGGATTCTAATCCCAATATCTTGCTTTTGCTGCTTTTCTTGTAGTATAAGTGTAGGAAGGCTTTCTCAGTCAATCGTAGAAGAGTAGCAACGAATTGCTGACTTTTTTCGTTTCTTTATCCGTCAGAGAAAGGCAGCTTTTTTTTGGGATCATGTTGCGACCCTCATGGAAGTCATTCCTCCCATTGATGCTATGTTTGAGGAGAAATCATTAGGTGAGAATATTGAACGAAGATAACCGTCCGATTTTTGTCTCTGTCTACAATAAAAGAGCAGTTATGCTTTGACTGTGCTTTTAATGTAAGACAAAGAGAAAACCGGACGGTTCTCCCCGTCCGGTGTCCGAACCTAATAATTTGCCTTATTTGGAGTTTCATTTGGGATGTCTTTCTTACTGCTTCTTATAAAACAACTTTTAGTATAAAATTTTTTGAAACTACAAATTTTGTACTAGAAAGCAGCTTTAAAAAACAATGAGAAAGCTGTCCCAAACGAAACCTGAATCTCTGAAAAAAAAAATTATAGATTTTTGGATCTTGTCATATCTCTGTTTAGTTATTATTTTTCAGAAATTATTGCAATGAAAAATTAGTTTTTATAATCAAATTAGAATAACACTATAGCTTTCGACAAAATTAATTTACAGGCAATAACTCGAATGGCACAAAAATCCTTGGAGACCTTGAGGGCCATGATGGGAGCTGTCGCAGTTGCTGGCGAGGAGGGGCCAAGCAAAATCTGCCTATAGAAAAATTCGAAAGGCTGCATATGGAGATGGAGCGCAACTTAAATCGATAAGAAGAAGAACCTCGGTTGTGAAAACCGAAGGCATGGCCAACACAGCAGATAGAGCATTACCAGAAAATACTTCTATAACTCAGGCAGTTTTAAAATGCCTAAAGCACAGCTAAGACTCAGATCAAGAATGATGAGCCACAAAGGCATGATGTCAGGTAGGGGTGTAAATGAGTCGAGCTGATTTGTGAGCAGGCTCAAGCTCTATGAAACCCTTAAAAAAAAAAAAAAACTAAACTCTCAAAATAATCGAGGCATCTTTTGTGTAATAGTTGAAATCTCATTAGAAACTCAAAAGTTAATTGTGCTCATATATGTCACACCTTTTGACCCCCCATAATCAACTTGGAGTGTAACAGAGAAGACGAATCTAAACAAAACTCCTTATTAACACCTATTCTAAAATACCTCTATTGGAATTAGGAAGTAGTCTATTCAAAATATCCTAACATATCATAACATATCAAGCTTTATACTTCATAACAAGAAGCATATGTAATATACCTCAAATAAAATTCATATCTCAATTGAAATAGAGCTTTACTAACTTTTAAAATTTACTTACAAACTCAAAAGTCTGTACAACTCTCACTCAGACCCCTTTATACAACCAAAAAATATATGTACACTAAAGAGTCTATTGCCCTAACTACTACTCCACTGGTTTCTTCCACTTACCTACAATATAACTATTGCTAATGATCTAGAACTCAATAAAATATACAAGAAATATTTAAGAAAAAATAAACATGTTTGTGGTCAATTGAAAACACACAAAATTTTATACTAGACATAAGATATACATAACATCATTTTTTTTTTGTTTACTGTTCAATAAATTTATAGAAGTCATATGATAGTCATAAGATTTTGAACCATTCCAGATTTTTAATTTAAAGTTGGATCTGAATTTCCAACTTTTAAAATTAGAAGCTGCTTTCTAATTCAAGGTTGGGTTAGAATTCCAAACTTTTAGAATATCAAAAATATGAGCTTATCTCGTTAGGTCTTTGTATTTCATATGCAGGTCTATCCCTCATTTATGACTTATTTCACCTTTCTCAATACCCTTCCTCCTTGTTAATGATCATAAAATATGCTATTATAATCCATACCCAATGAATCAACAATTTATACATGGATAACATGCATAAATTTGCTACCATAAACAAAACAAATATGAGTTTTCAATTATATAAAATTTTTATTATTTCCTATAGCATCGTTTGGATATCTCACATTGTTAGGAATTTATTCTCCTCTGTCTTCTTTTTCTTTTGTAAGCAATCTCAATTGCACTTTTTTTCATTCAATACTATCCCACTTCTGTTTCAAAATTTCTTGTCTACCTCCTTTTCTTTTTCCTCCTTTTTTTTCTTACTATTTTCTGAAATCTGCAAACTTCAACTACAGCAGCCCATAAATTCAGCACCTAGACTGAATTCCAGAAGTTAATTTCAGCAAACCTGAATTTCAACGATTACCTTCAGCATACCATTGTTGCTGATACCATACTTACTGATTTTATACAAATTTCACTATTTCAGTCCTACAACCCTATGCACAAAATTAATGACTACCAACAAAGCTGTCTGGAGCTATGCAAAGCTAATTAACAGTCTAATACACTTTTCAAAAATAAGTTTTTTTAAAGAAAATTGTAAATAAAAAATCAAACAAATTACCTGTTTGTTTCATCCAAGCAGCCACCTCCTGTTGTCGATTGCTTTCCCTTCAAGACAAAGTTGAGATGAAACCACTAAGGCTTCGTTTGGGACAGCTTTTTTTTCTATTTCTTAAAGCAATTTTTTAATTTGAAAAGAAAATTTTTAACTAATAAGTTATCTTAAAAAGCAATAAGAAAGCTGTCCAAAAGAAAGGCTAAATTCAAACAAAATAAATTACTCTTGAGCTAAAAAATCTATAACCAGCATCAGAGTTTTTGTTAAGGACATAAATGCGGCGTCCAACTCCAATGGAAAAGCTAGTGTTAAAATCCCTGAATAGAATTTTAGCATAAACTAAATAAATAAATCCATGGATTTAAAATAAATTACAAAAACTAAACAATGTTTAAACTTGCTTATTTAGTAATAGAACCTTCTAAATTGTAGTCCTTGTTCAATACATAAATGAACACAAACAACTCATACTTACATGCTCTCTCCAATGATCAATGTACCTTTGTGTCCTTAACAAATCCTATCATCCCATAGAGTTCTGATTGCTGATCATCATGATTATGAATTTGTAAATAAATGAACCTTAAAGAGTAATCCCTTAAAATCAAAATCACTCAAAACTAAGCCTTCATTTGGTACGGCTTTCTTATTGCTTTTTAAAGCAGCTTTTAAATATAAAAATTAATTTTTTTGTACTAAAAAATTGCTTTAAAAAGCAGTAAAAAAGCCATCCCAAATGAAGCCTAAGTTGGATGAGTTGATTTAACAACAGCACAAGTAATCTGTTTCGAAATCCTATGTAATGAGGCCAAGTAAGCTGTTCATCAAGAGAGTCTCAAAGCAATTGATAGAAAAAGCCACAATAAGAAAATAATAGCCACTCACTGCCAGTAGCCTAGCAATAAAATACTGCAAAAGCTGAGCCTACTACTCCCTGCAATAATTTTGAATTTCACTTATGTAGATGTAAATGGCTTTGAACTGAACAAAGCTATAACTGCTACTACACTGTGATTCTCAAAAGGTCATACACAGAAAGATATAGCAAAAAAAGACAGAAAATGAGTGGCCACACGTTAATTTGAAAAATATAATGAAATACAAATCATCAATCGACTATCAATCAGCGCCCAGCTCTAGAGAAATTATATATATAAAAAAAAATTGTCCTGTTACTTCCAGGACCGCTGGCTGCAACTACTGGAAAAACAATCACAATTAGGAAATATAGGCAGAACCATAAGTTGAAGCAGTTTTGATGTTTACCTCCAAGGCCGATGCTCACTATTTGTTAGTAAAGTGTAAGCTTCCTATCAAAGTGTCTATTGTCAATGCCAGAGCTTACTGCAGAAGCCATTGCGTGACCTCTTGCAGCTAACAATCTCAGAAAAGGAATCCAGCAACTGACCTGCCAAACTACTAGGCTCTTCGATGAGGGTTCGAATGAATGTGACGACCACCCGGCGCTCTTGCTCGGTGGACCTGAGGCTGAACCATGTCAAGAACTTCATGCGGAAGGCATTCTCGATGTGCCCCGAACACTCCAACCATCTTATCACCTTGACACAGTATTCATAGTTGTCATCCAGCTGACCAGAATCATGGGAGAATCTGAGGGATGCCCCGCTGACCAAAGTGCTGTCGCCATCGCAGGTTTCATCATGTCGATGTTGTGATAGTTTTCTGCAATCTGGGTGAGACTCAACAGCTGGGATTTCACCACCCGCCCTGATCACATAAGTCTGGGAATCTCCACTACCGTTTGACCTTATAAGGCCATTCTTCTGTGAAGTGCATCCATTCTCTGGAGAGGACTCCATAGGTGGAGGCAGATCATCATTAAGATCAGGAACTGATGCCACGTTCAAATCAAGTTGACGGACAACAAAGGGCTCTGCTTGATCCTCTTCACCATTGTCAGGCTTCACTGCACCGCTCCCATCACAGGATTCTTCTTCTAGGTCATCCTTGTAGAACTCATCATAGCAACCCTCTTCTTGGGCCCAAGCAAGGCGTAAAATCTTCCCCAGATTTCGGACTTTGAATCCAGATGACCCAGTATGCGGGGCCTTGGAATCTCTCTTGCCACTTGATGAGCACCCTTCTGTACCAGCTTGCTCCGTTTCTTTGTGAATTATCTCCACACTCTTGGTGAAGCACCTGGCTTCAGAGTGGCCCAAATCTCCTTCTACAGTGAAGGAAATAATCCGGAAAGCATACTCCGTGCACGGCTGAAGGTTTGGAACCAGAATCCTTCGCTGTGCCCTGGGGATTATGACAGGTTCTTTCTGGTAAATCTGATCCCTGTTCTTGCAGTACCAGAGCTTGTAACCCTTAATGGCACAAGGTGCCGAAGAGAATGGTTCTTTTAAAACAATTAAAAGAGAAGATGATGTTATCTCCTCAAATTGGAATCTACATGCAGCAGGAAGTGAATCTGCAAGATAAGGTAACATTCTTCAAACTTAAAGGCCATAAATTAGCCAAAACTCGAAAAATACGGTAAGTTCCTGGAAGTGTACCTTTTTGCTTTGTAACTGAGAAACAAGCAGACTTGAGCCACTCTTCTGCCTTCTCAATTCCAAGCGAACATAGTTTTTGCACATCTCTGGAGACAGGAAGCCTGCTTACAAGCCCACGTGCCATCCTGGCCGACACTCCATTCAAGGGACCAACTTCAGTCTCCAGTTTTGCCTTTGCATCTTCTACAATGTTGTGCAATTCTTTAAACTGGGAAGTACCATCTAGAAGCCTGTAACTCAAATATATTCGGTAGCAAAGAATATCTACTCGGCGAGCTTCTTTTGCAACTGCCAGCTGCTTCTTCCAGCATCTGCAAGAAGCAAAAGGCATCACCACGACTCCAAATATTTGTAGAGCTATATATGCATTACAATGCCTGCTTCTTAGCCAAATTGTCCGAGAGTTTCTCCAAGAAACCAACACTAAAGCTGAATGCTATCATTTGCTTTCAGATGTAATATTATGTTTCTTTTTCCCATATTTGAGTGCACATAAATCCCCTAGAAAGAAAATATGAAACTTTGAAATGTCTGAAACTCAAGCCCCCATGCAAGCTATAGCTATTCATTACAATTATTGCCGATTATTCTGTTTAATATTAGAAATTGTTTCATGGTCCTGCTAACCATCAATTCAAACTTAGCTTTGATGTTTTTAAGATAAATTTTATGTGATCTTTTTCTCTACAATAAATTCTCTTACATGCAATTTTTACCGACATGATTTGATGGAAATGAAACAATTTTCTGCAACATATATGGGTTGAATAGAGAAATCAAAGTCGATTGGCTGAATTGGGAAGATGGGCAAAAGTATAACTACTTGGCATACTTCTCAAAAAGGAGAGGCGCCTATCAGCTGCTCTATAGAGAGTATCTTGACGGAAAATGATAATAAACTGGATATAGTCCTACTCTGCACGTTGTAGGTGTTGAGAAAATAACAAAAAAAGGCCCAAACAACCAATATATGTGGCGAACGTCAAAGCGTAGAATAACTATACCACTGCAGAAAAAGTGGGAGTGAGATGGCTAATTGGATGCACAATCGAGAAAAAAAAGGCAATGAGGAGGGTGTTAATGCTAAAATGGTAAAAAAATAATTGTAGCAAGGCAATGCTAAAATGTTGAACAGTGATTCAAAAGTATTTAAATGAGGTGACTCTTAAGAAGTTGGGATGAGGATGATGATGATGTTCAACATGGATGAGCTGTCATATATGTTGATGAAGCATCCTAACAAAATAATTATAAATTTAATCCAGTGAGGACGTAATAATTATGTAGATTCTTCTAGGTGTATTTATTTTAAAAGCCTTTTTCTGATCAATAAATCAATATTAGATCAAAGTACATCAAACTTAGTATCCGTTTTGGTGATAAAACATGAAATAAACTTAGCTTGAATCAAGTCAAGCAAAAAAAATGCAATATGCAAGTCCCCAGAACATAAACAAAGCACCTGATATTGAGTTAAACCTATTATTGTAGGTAATTTCGTACCTATGTACATGAGAAGTTGAAAAATAGATAGGCTTAATAGTCTTCTCAACTATAAACATATGAATAAAAGGATTTCAGCGGTAGCAGGACAGCTTTTTTTTAAATACTGCGATCATTTTTCTGCTGTTCAATGACTTGTAAATGCAAATGTGCAACAATCTCAATATCAACTGTTTTCTCAGGTGAACAGCATTTGGATCAAGGCAATCTTAGCTGAGCTTCAAATTGTTTTGATCAATTCATACACTTCCATTTTTATGATTAACAAAGTTATTCAAGTGTAGTAAACACGTTTTTAGATTAAGAGATCACGATGATGAATCATGTGGATAAAGTAACGCTCCAGAGAAAAGAAAGGAGATCCAAAGGCTTTGCCATTTTAGTAGACTTTTTTACATAAGCCAAACCAACATTGCGCTTTAAATATCTAGCATCAATTTAAAAAGTTAAATATGGTTAAAATTTTGTTAATAAAAAATTTAAAAAAAATTATAAGTTATTACTCAATTCTAGCACACAAAAGATTAAGTTCATATTCAACTTGATCAATTGAGCTTGGCCTGAGCTCTCTATTTAGTAATTAGTAGCATGCTACTTAACAAATGTAGGATGTTAGCCGCTCTAGAGTTCATATGAGTAAAATATCATGCAAAAAATATTCAAAATTGAGCATAGGTTATGACGTGATACTAATGTTTCTCAAAATCAATTTGGATCCATGCTGAGTAGGTCAACTATGGAAGCTATACATTTATTGAGAGGTTTGATGGAGAAGCATAGATAAAATAAGGAGGATCTATATATGATATCTATTGATTTAGAGAAAGCAATATGATAAAGTTCCAATAAAAGTGTTATGAAAAGTTCTAGAAAAAAAAAAAGAGTTAATAGTATTTATATTATTCAAGTCATTGAAGATAAGTATGCAAGTGTTGTTTCTTGTATTCAAATACAAGGTGGTTTGACCAAGTATTTTCCTATTTCAGTTGGATTACAACAAGGATCAGCTTTAAGCCCATATCTTTTTGCTTTAGTCATAGATGTTCTTACTAGACATTTGCAAGATAATGTACCTTGGTGTATACTTTTAGTTGATGATATTCTTCTTGTTGATAAGACTCTAGAGAGAGTTGAAGAAAATCTTGAATTATGGAGGTTAATCTTAGAGTCTAAAAGTTTTCATTTGAGTAGATCTAAAATCAAATACATGGAATGTAATCTTAATAGTAATAGATCTTGTAGGGCATTGTGACTTTGGGCGATCACGCCATTAAAAAGAGTACAAATTTTAGATATCTCATGTCTATTGTTCAAAGTAATGGTGAAATAGATGGGGATATTTGATGTAGAACGGAAAACGGCTTTGCTAGGGAGAGGATCACCTCTCCAAAATCTGAAGGAAATTCGGACTTCTTTGCCCAAAACCTGAGAAAAATCTCAGATTTTCTTTTGGTAGGAGAGAGGTTGCAAGCTCCACACCTCTTCTCTTAAAATCTGAAAACAGCCTCAGATTTTTATTCAAAATCTGAGAGAAATACCGAATTTCAGTGCTTGGGAGAACAAGGTTTGGAGGGGTAACAGATGGTTTCACGCTGTGGTGGAGAACGACTGAAAGGGAGGCGTTGGAAGCAAGGTAGGTGGCTGCAGTTTTGGAGAGGGATAATAAGGTTCTGAATTGTTTCCAAGCAAGGATTTTCTTCAGGTTTTCTTATTCAAAACCTGAGAAAGTTTTAAGCAGGTAATATTAAGAGGAGGAGGGAGACGGTGAAAACGAATAGAAATATCTGATGAATTAGAGAGGAGAAGGGGCGGCAGGATACAAGGAAAGCTGAGGGAAAATTCAATTCCGTAAATCTGGGATATGAATTAGGGAAAATAGTGAGGAAATAAAGGTCCAGGGAGAATTCGGCTAAGGAGAGGTGGCTGAGATTGGAAATATTTCCAAGAAGAGTTGGGGAGGAATTAAATGAGGTGGGGACGTGGGATTTTCCATCCAAATAAGAATTCTGTGATTTGGAAATAACTCAAACTGTCCAATATTGAGAATAATACTAATGGAAGCAATTAAAAGGAGATTTCAGGATTTGGATGTGAGGAATAAAACTGTTACGGGAATTGAAATTGTTTCCAAAAGTGATAATTAGCTTAGGGAAATAAATATTAATTAAAGCCAAGGTGGAGGTGAGGTGGGCCGGCGGCATCCAAAGGGGAATATGGGTTTAATGCACTCAATTGTGGTTACTTAATTTGGGATTAGGATTTAGGAAAGAAACAAATAAATCCTATTTGAATTTGAAATCCAAATAAAATGGATTTAGTAACTTTCCACAAATAGAATGATAAATTAGGAAAGAATTCAAATTTCAAATTTGTTGAATTTGAAATTTTGAAACTCTTCCCAAAATTAATAGCATGTTATCAAATCCCTTAATGAAGCATTAAAGGAGAGGAGACCACCAAGGGGCCAGTGGCAAGGTGAGAATGGAGACGACGATGGTGGACGGAGGTAGAGGAAGAAGATAAACGACTAGAAACAACAAGAAGGAATAAAAACAAGAGATAAAATGAAAGATAGAAATAAACGATAGAAAATAAAAATCGCGAGCCTTGGATTCTTCCGAAGACTGACGGGTGATGCTTTGACCTTCTCCAAGGGACTTCAAGTCACGAGCCCGGACCCATCCTGCGACTGGTGAAAACTCCAATTCCTCTCCATAGAAATCCCACTATCGTCCTCTCACAAGAGCACAATTGTTGGACACAAATTTTTAATATCAATTCTTCATCATCATTACAATAGCTTAAGGCCCTATATATAGGCCACAACATAAGAAAAACTTAAAATTACAAAATTGCTCATTGGGCCACAACACTCACATAAACTAACCTAGGGGTAAAACAGGAAATAACATAAAAGAAGAGCTAAAATTCTGAAAATAACTCATAAATAACAATTTAAATTATAACCGTCGATTTACGACGCCTCCTGTGATAGATGCGCCAAATCTTCGTGCCGATGTCTGCATCAATATTATTTGTAGAATTCAAGTTGGATGGTAAAGTGGAGGAATGCATCGAGTCTGTTGTGTGATAGAAAAATGCCCCTCAAACTTAATAGAAAATTCTATAAGATGGTGGTGAGACCTGCAATGTTTTATGGCACAGAATGTTGGCCATAAAGCAGCATAAAATTAAGTGTTGCAGAGATGAGGATGCTTAGGTGGATGAGTGGTTGTACTCTTAGAGACATAATGTGAAATGAGTATATACGTGAAAAGGTTGGAGTGGCACTACTGGCGGATAAGATTAGAGAGAGTCGGCTTAGATGGTTTGGTCACATAAAATATTGACCTTCCAATGACTCGGTTAGGAGAATAAATGTAACAGATCTGGCCTATGTAATAAATCTCCTTAGAAAATAAGTGGATGAACATATAAGAGACTGGGATTCTAAGTTGTCTATTGCTGAATGTGCCTACAATAATTTTGTGAATCGCACCACGGGCCTAAGTCCTTTTGAAATAGTTTATGATTTTAAACCTAGGCAACCCATAGATTTGATCCCTATGAATCCTATGTCCAGAGTTAGTGAGTCAGCATCTGCATTTGCATCCCATATGCATGAATTGCATAAAGAGATTTCTCTAGAATTAATCAAAGCAATGCAACCTATAAACTTCAAGCTGATAGTAAGAAACGATTCAGGACATTTGAAATTGGGGACTATGTGATAGTTCGGATTCGTCCAAAACAGTTCCCGAAAGGGACTATTAGAAAACTGCATGCTAAGAGTATCAGACCATTCAAG